GAGGGAGACCACAACTGCGATACAAGGATATCTGCAAGTGGGATCTGAAGGCCTTGGAAATGGATCTCAACAGATGGGAAACCATGACATCTGAGCGCTCAGCCTGGAGGCATGCGGTACATCATAGCCTCTGCCAATTTGAAGAGACCCTTGCCCAGCAGGCTGAGGCAAAGAAGCAGTCCCAAAAGCAGCAAAATCAGGGAGCTAGACAGGGTACAGATTCTATTTGTCCTTAGTGTGGAAGGGAATTGGCCTTCTTGAATTGGCCTTCTCAGCCACACTAGACGCTGTTCCAAGTCCTCCATGCAGAGCACGATACCATAGTCTCTTGAGACTGAAGGATCCCTATGCCTATATTCATGACCCCCCCTAGTTAAATTCTCCATTTGTCTACCCTTTTAAAAAAACATTCTGATCCTCTTTAATATATTTTATAATAAATTTGTTCAATCTATTTGCAAGTATTGCAGTAAAAATCTTTACAACTTGATTTAATAGTGAAATAGGTCTAAATGAACTTGGGTCTGCTATATCTTTATTGGGCTTTGGAATAAGAGTTATTAATGACTGTTTCCAAGAATCTGGTATTCTCTCTCCTTCCAATATTTCACTGTAGAGTACTTTTAACTTATGGATCAATATTGGTTTAAAAATTTTATAATATTCTGATTCTAATCCATCAAAACCTGGAGTTTTACCATTTTTAAATTTATTAACAATCTCTATAATCTCTTCCTCTTTTATCTCTTTATCTAGATCTTTTTATCATTCTCTGATCATTTACTCTTAACATTTTCTTTAATATAATTTTCTATATCTTCTTTCGATACACTATTACCTTTATATAAATTTTAATAAAATTCCTGTATTATCTTTAGTTTTCATTTTATTAAACTACAATTCTTTCCCATTTCATCTTTAATCATTCCAATTATATTTTTTGCTCTTTTGGTTTGAACTTTTCTAGCTAAAAGTTTTGAATTTTATTACTATATTCAAAGAAATTCCTCCTAGCGTATATCAAGTCCCTCCGGACCTTTTCTAACTCTAAACCTTCCAATTCTTTTCTTTTAGCTTGAATCTCTAGTAATTTTTGTTATCTCTATCTATAAAATGTTTACTTTCAAAATCCTTTAATGAGTCTTCAATTCTTTTTATATTTTCTTCTCTCAATTTTTTTAATCTATAGGGTTCTTTTATAGCAATTCCTCTCAAACTTACATTCATAGTGTCCCATAACACTCCTATTTTATTTCCAACTGCTTCATTAAATGACCATATTTCCAGCCATTCTTTCTTATCTCTATCTATAACCTCTGTATGCTGAAAAATACTGGAGTCTATTCTCCATCTCCTAGCTTCTCTATAGTCCTTCTTAACTCTATAGTCCTCAACACGTGATCTGTTATTTTTATCCATTAGTATTCGTATCTACTACTTTTGAAATTAAGTTTTGTGATATAAACATAATATCTATTCTAGAATAACTACCGTATTTGCCAGCATACAAGATGACTTTTTGGGCCCAAAAAACATGCCTCCAAGTGGGGGGGCGGGTTGTCTTGCACACCGGGTGCACTTCATTTGGGCCAGGAAGGAGCCGCTGCCACTATTGAATGAGTGACGCGGGGCCGTGCTGGCCGGGGAGGAAGGCAGGCGGGCAGTCAGTCAGTCAGTCAGTCAGTCTGGATGGATGGAGGGAAGCACAGCCTGCCATGCCTGAGTGGCCAGAGCCCGCTGCTGGGCAGCCCGCTGCTGGGCTGTCCGCTGCCCCACGCCGCTGAGCCAGCGGCGCGCTCGCTTGCCCACCACCTGCCCGTTTCCCTTTTCCTCCTCCTCCTTCTGCCCACTCAGCCTCTTGCCCTCTTCCTCGCCCTTGGCCAGAGCCTGCCACTGGGCTGCCCACCGCCCCGCGCTGCTGAGCCAGCTGCGTGCTCGCTCGCCCGCCACCCGCCTGCTTCCCCTCTTCTTCCTCCTCCTCCCACCACCCACCCAGCCTCTTTCCCTCTTCCTCACCCTCTCGCTGCTTGAGCCAGCTGGCGCACGCTCGCCTGCCACCCGCCCGCTTCCCCTCTTCCTCCTCCTCCTCCTCCTCCCACCATTACGTACAGAAGAATATTATGTAAACCTTATTTCGTTCACCTTCAGTTCTCTCCATATATCTTTCAAATCTGTACTGTATAGTATCTTACTCAAGAAGGTACCTCTTTTATTCAACTTATCTTTTTTACATGTGGATTTATCTTTTACCTTATCCAGAACTATATTAAAATCTCCCGCCATGATCACATATCCTTTCCTAACCTTTTCCATTTCTTTAATCACAGTTTTATAAAATTCTCCTTGATTCATATTTGGTGCATACACATTTACTAGTGTATAATCTTCTTCCCCCATTTGACCTTGAACTATCAAATATCTACTATTACTATCTTTTATTACTTCTTTTACCACAAATTCACATTGTTTAGATATTAATATTGCTACCCCTCTAGATTTAGAGGTTTTTTCATTTACAGTGGTGCCTCGCTTAATGATTACCTTGTTAAACGACGAATCTGCTTTACAATGAGGTTTTTGCGATCACAATAGCGACCAGAAAATGATGTTTAGATAGGGAAAATTTGCTTGACGATGATCGGGAACTGATTTTTCGCTAGACGATGATTCTGAAACAGCTGATTGGCAGCTCTAAAATGGCTACTCGCTATGCAGAATTGTTCCCCACTGTGCTTTAGGATGGATTCCTCGCTTTACAGGCACCGGAAAATGGCCACCCTATGGAGGATCTTCACAAAACAAGCAGGTATTTAGCCCATTGGAATGCATTGAATGGTTTTCAATGCATTTCAATGGGTTATTTAAATTTGCTTGATGACGATTTTGCTTAACAGCGATTTCAACGGAACAGATTATCATCGTCAAGTGAGGCACCACTGTATGTGAATATTTTGTAATTTCAATTTGTTGACTCAATCCTTGGTTGATGTATCTCTTGTAGATAGATAACATCAACTTTACTTTTCTTTAATAATAAATCTATCCTTCTCTTTTGCTGCCTAGAGTGGTCTTAACCGACCAGATAGGCGAGATATAAATAAAATAAATAAATAAAATAAATAAATAATACAGACCCTAGGCCTTTCACAATTAAAGTCACTGCCCTTATGTTTTTCCCCATAACTGTTCCATTTTCTGCCTCTTATTCGGTCCCTTTGTGCATCCCACGTAACAAAAGCAAAAAGAAAAACAACTAAAAAAATTAATTCACCTACCTCTAATTTCCTATCCCTATCCTTCTTACCTACATATAAACTCTTTTCCTCCCTCCCGTTTCCCCATGTCCCAGTAATGTTTAGCGTGAGCTTTGGGGGGGGAGACACCACTCCCACCAGTCTGGACCCCAGCCAAACCTTCATCCCTATTTCACTCCACCTCATATCCATATATATATATTCAAATGCCTTCCCTCCTAACTTTTAACATCTCTTCTTCTTTCTACAACCCAACCCAGTCAAGCAATCCAAAAGAATAACAGAAAAAAATCTCAAATGAAAAAGCCACAAAAAAGAAAAAGAGGGAAAAAAGAAATGGAGGGAAAAAATAAAGGAACTCCCATATTATAAAAAAGGGGGGCAAAAAAGAGGGAGAAAAAAAATCAACCCTCCTTACAGAAAAGAAAGGGGGAAAGGGGAGGGTAGAAAACAACTTTTCAGGCATCCAATAACGTCCAATAATCTCTTCCAGTCAAAATATCTTCTCTTTCGAACCACCAGTCTTTACAGAGCTACTTGCTTGCTTGTCCCTTCTACACTCTCATCTTCTTGCCAAAGTCCCCAGGCTTTTTAAATTAT